AAAGAGTGTTTTACGGTGAGAACGGGAGTCGTAGCGTGTTTGCTACGGTCTCCTGAAAAGAAGAAGCGTTACGTGAAAAAAAAAGAAAAAGAAAAAGACAATTTCTTTGTTCTGAGATTGTGACTTTAGATTGAAATGATCGAAAAATGTGCAATGTGAAAATCTGTTGATTTCTCAACGGCAAAATTTGCGAAAGTGCAATAACAGGATGATAAATTCATAAATATCGTAAAAAAAAATTTTCTTTAGATCGTAAAGCAAAGATGAGGAAACGTACATACGTTCGCAATCTTTAAAATGCTTATCCACAAGTTCAAATAGCAGGGGCGTAGTTGACCCCGGCTTGCGATTGCCGAACCTAAATTGCGCACTCGCGCCTCGGCCGCTCATACGTAGGACTTCTAAAATAGTCATATTATTTCTGGAAAGGCAACGTAAAACGTACATTAATACGTGAAATAGCTCTATTATTATTCTTATCCCTCGCTAATATTTTTCTCTTTTTCTTTATCTTATTGAAACACTTGCCTAATATATAAAAAACCAGAGGACGCCGAAGCGGAGACGGGTGTATACGCCACACGAATCATCCTTGTTTCCAAAGGGTATAAATACAAAGGAACCGATTGAGACGCTACCGGTATACTCCATCGTTTTTCGAACAGCTCTCGCTCATCAGCATTCTCTTCTAGCTTGAACTCTTCTGGGACTGTGGACGAACATTCCGCGCACACGGGCTTAAATCTGCACGAATATTAAAATTTCAAATTTAATTCGAAAAGATTGTCAAGCAGACTAAATGATCAATTACATACTTCATTGGTAAAGAATGATAAAGACGTGCTCCTTGAGGATAGCTCCAGTCCATAACTAGCTGAACTATAAGCGGACTCGCGCTCGGATTGTGCAACTTGATTGTTCTGTACGACATGTTTCCGACTTGCGTTAGTGGGAACATCAAAACACTTTTGTTTTTTATACCGACCAACAGACTCGGCCAATATGGTTTAATGTTTACATAAAACCGATGACCGCGTACTTCGGTTGTGTCCAAGCGCATCGTGACGTTTTCCCACGAGCCATCCGCGGTAGAGTTGACGAAACGCGCATATCGCGTGTTCAGCAAATTCAAGTCGGAGTCGCGAGTATGCGAGGGAAGGTTCATCGTATTCAACCACTGATTCCCCGCTATAAAATAAAATGTAATCATTAAAGTTATAAAACGACTAAGCATCTAACGCAACAATTTCATAGTAAAATAATTATGAAAATAAAAATACGACGATGCGTTAAGTTTATAAATTGCAAAGATGACTAAAAAATGTATTATGCTTACTATTGGTGTCTACTGATAAACCTAGATAACAATGTTGCTTGCAAGTCACCAAAGGATCAATTTGTATCGAGCCGACATTATTCTCGCCTTTAGATATGACTGGCATGGTAGCTTCCTCCAACGGGATATACTTTATTCTGTCGTCCTTGTTTATAGGTGCGATATGCGTCACTTCCATCGGTCTCGAAAACGTGGAGTGCACCTTTACTTGTTGCACACAGATCGATCCCTATCCAGCATTGAGATTATATATAAATAGGATGTCTATTCAAATCTTTTAAAAAAATGCCCTTCCAGATATCTTCCAGATATTTTTGTTCAAAAAATTCCAGGTAAAAAAAATATTTTAAAGATTTTGTGGTGCACTTTCTACAATAAATTTTTTTATTGTATAAGTTTTCTAATGCTACATTCTAATGACTAGAAATTACAAAAAAAATATGTACTGCACATATTCAATATTTTGTTAAAACATTGATTATATATAAATAGACAAATATATATTTATCATATATTTTAAACACAATTTACTTGGACTCGCCAACTGCTTATAACATAAGAGCAAAATGATCAGAGAGGATTTTTAAAAAAGTTCTCCGAGTCCCAATATAAAATCTCTGAAAATTCCAGGTTTTTCATATTTTTCCAGGGAATAGACACTCTGATAAACTCATAATAGATATCTTGGATATCAGGATAGATATCAAGGACAAAGTTTGGCAAAATGTAATTGTAAAATATAACTCACAGGGAAGCAATCGGTAAAAATAAGCTTCTTCAAGGAAATCTTGCCGTGTGCAACTCGCATATACACCGGCAAGGTAAATCGCTCGTATGTCGTTCGCACAAAAACATCGCCGACAATCGTATCTTCCTCGACCATAGGAGTCTTCACTTTGATCTTAAAAATTGCCAGAAACTCCGGTTTTATGTATTGCTGAAAACAGTAAAAATATTTATTTATCGCATAAAAAATCTCGTAACTCGAGTAAAATGCAAATTTATCATGCGGAGACTTACGTTTCCAGAAGGACTGCACACAGTTATATTTCGAAATTCCATATCCAACAAATCCGCGGGACCATTTTGACATCCCATCAATTCTAAAACTGCACCGGGCATATTCACACCCCAGCTATGTAGTTCCACATTGACGGGGTTCTGATTCTCCAGCGCGAAAATTGCCTCGTTCTCGGTGCCGCTTCCTACAGTACCGAAATTCATAGTTCCCATGTCGTTCTCCTTCTCGCTCAGCATAACTTTTTTCAGTTTCCCGTCATAACTCAATACCGGAACTTCAGTCACGGACACGTTCGAATGTATCAATATCGATGACTCCATTTTCACGCTATCACCCTTCCGTTCTTTGGCAAGTTGTAAAGAAAATATATTGACCTTTTGCTCGGGTTTTATTACTCTAGGAGTAAAATCTTTTATCTGAAAAAATTTACGCGAACATTTTTCTTATTTCAGGAAGTAAAATAATTGAAAAGAGAAAGAAATGCTTTGTACCGTAAAAAGCGATTTCGCATTCGAACACATCGTGACATTCGTAATAGCTAGTGGTAATTTAAATTTGTTCACCACGCTAAAGTTTCGGGCTTGATTGGATTGTGGAGAACAATAGTGGGTAATCGATGTGTTTACTTCTAATCCACCCTGCAGCACTTGAGCTACCCATGGAATTTCTAATTTTTGATGAGAGCCACCTGGACCTACTGCTTTTATTATCAATTTGCCTTTGAAATGTTGCTCATCCAAACCGGTTTTCCCTGAGAAGATTAATATGAAATTATTTTAACTAGAGCGATAATCGCAAGCCGTTTTTCTATCATATAATCAACAATGTTGCATCTTACAATCATAAACCAGCATTCCAATGGCGATTGGTATATCTGTCTCTCCTGGAATTATTGCTCGCTCAAAATGCAGTTTTAATGCTTTTGTTACAGGTGTATTTATAATATTCTAGGACAAATATTTCGTTTGCTTAGTTTAATGTCTTGTGAAATGTATCGAAATTTTTTCTTTAGAGATTACTTCTACATTTGGAAAAAACTTCTATAGTTTGCTCGTTCAACTTACCATAACTTTGATTGCTTTCTTCGCGGAATTTTTTAAAGCAATAGGGTGGCGAATAGGTGGCTGTAATGATCCACCCATACCTAAATTAATTATTCCAGAACTCCCACCCCAATGAAGACCAGCTCCACTTTTGACCTCTACTTCGACTGCTACCACAAGGATCTCAGCAGTATTATTCACTTTAAATCTGCAACATATATTTCACATATATTATATACATTAATACATACATGATATAAATACAATATTGTATTATGTCTAACTAACCTAACATATGCCGAATGATTTTTTTCCATGTAAGCATTAAAAGTTAGTCTGATGATAGGCTTTGTTTGATAAGGTGGAATTTCCCATAATTCTCGAGTACCTTCTGGTTCGCCCGATGGTAACTCTAGTTGAAATTCTCCACCGCTGCTATATACTTCCACCACCTTTATTTATGTAACAGACATAAATTATTAAAGTGGCTAACATATGTAAATATTTTTGTGTAATCAATAAAGATATTTTCGCATACTTGTAAAGTTTCCGGATGAGGATTGTGCATATATATAAGAGGTGTAAAAGATGCATTTAATGGTAACTTGACATCGACAGGTCGGAGTCTATAAGGACTACTAACACTTATTCCTTTGACCTGCAGATGTAGAAGCATCTTATTATGCAACACATCGTACACATATGCATAATTGAAACTATGATCGAAATAAATCTCTCTTACCTGATACTTTAGTGTCCCATCTAAAGTATGTATAAAAAGGTGTGTATCGATATCACCTTCGTCTCGACCAAGGAAGATAACATTAAATGTCGTGTTCCCCAATGGTGGAATTATCTGAGGTAAATATAACAATTATTAATACTAGCTAATTCAATATATCCATATTTTTTCAATTACTTAGAAAATACATTTAATACTTAGAGATTTTATAAATTATTGTATCAGCTTAATTATCATATAGTATAAGCGCTTTAATTTAGCTTTCATGCTCTATCTGTGAGAGATTACCATTATATCCCATTACTTACTTTGCTTTGAAAAAATGATGAATGGAAATGCCGTGTATTTCCAGATATTGATGAAAGATGTATAGTTTTATTGTGATCTTTGTTAAACATGATCACAGTTTCTTGGTGAGGAATACCGAGTTGTCTAAGAGGAAAAATATTACATATCACTTTCATGGTATTAAATGGAGATACTCTATATTAAGCAGTATTCACCTTTCTTTGAAGTCTAAGATGCTTGGCTCGAAAGAAATGTGAGAGAGCAAATCTTCCCTTTTATCCTCGTCCGATATAGTATCCCTTAAAAATATGATAACGCCATTCAGCAATTAATCATTATATTATTAAGTGCAATACTTGTAAAAGTGGAAATTGAAAGTAGGAAAGATATGAGAAACATTAGCTTAAAATAAATCGACCTGATACTCTGTTAGTAAAACAAATTAATTTCGATTCTAGGCTTTTCTTGTTAAATATGATATAATAAAATAATTATTTACCACAGATGATTTTGTCATAAATTTTAACTTTTTTATAATGCATGTATATTTTGCTTAAGGGGAAAAACAAAAAACATCCTGTTTCTTTTTTTCAGAATACATAACATGCCAACTTTGAATTATCTTATCTTTGGTTTACTAATGGTTTCGAAGGTCATTTCAACTTAGTAAATATTGCTATGAGTCATAAATTAAGCAAAAATATGATAATAAGATAACTTTAATGGTCACAAGTAGAACGCAGTTAAATAGGCATACATTTTTTTACAAAATTTTGAATTATGTAAAAACGGTAAAAAAGTTTTTCACGATACATACATAGGATCCCCCATGTGACTATCAGAAAGAAAGATTATAACATGTACCTTTCCTACTTTCATTTACCATTATCTTAATGAGTATTATGCTTACCCAGCCCCATGTACTGTATTAGCAAAATCCTATAATAACAGAATTCCAATATAATATCTTTTGCACTATATACATATTTTAATAAATTGTAATTATTCAATAATAATTTTATTATTTTTTTACAAATGGACAAGTCTTTTACAATTTTATTTTTGCATTTACAAGTACCTCTTCCTTAAATATTTAATATATAAATGTATAATATAATTGTATATGACAAGATAACTGACCTTATGCATAGATATTGGCCTACTATCCAAAAGATATTGAACATTGTCATCTTTAACGAAGTCTAAAATATTAAAATATATTTGTAATTTAAAACAGTTTAAATACATGTCACTGAAATAATACTCATGTTTACAAATTTACAGTATATTTCAAGGCACAACAAATATATTTAAAAGTATGCAAAATTATATTACAAAGAAATGACAGTTATACAATTGACAATGTATAATATACGCATAACAAATGGAGTCTAATTTAACTTTGCACAATAAAATTTCTACACATTTTGAAGAGTTTCAAACATATTTAAAGAAATGTACAAAAGTATAGGAGGAGAAGCTTACAATTATAATTAATATAATTAAAACTTCACATATAGAAACGCTTTCTTTTTTTCTTAAAATTAATCCAGAAAGCGCGGCAAATGTGCGCGTTATCCGATTCTCGCGTAGCGCAAACATATGACATGCATACATCACGCCTTGCGTAACATAAACACGTCAGTCATGACAGGCGAAACGCGCGAGGTTATATCATCCTTATCGCGACAATTTTTCGAAAAATTCGAAAAACACGGGATCGCCGAGACGCGGTTCGCCGGGACGCGCGGGTCGCGTGACAGCGCTTGGCGCGTAAAGCACGCGCGCAACGTGACCTTCATCGCGAGGAGTATTCTGCGGAATTGTTCAATTCGGAGACTTTACCATCGCGTTTCCTTACGAGTCTCGCGTCTCTCAACAGCTCGAGAAAGTCCGCTCGTATTAGCGACGCTTGTCATTATTGAATAAACGAATCCGTTTCGATCAACATCGAAATAGTTGTGCGGGGAAGAGAGAAAGAGAGAGAAAGCGAGAAAAAGGATAATAGAGAGAGAGAGAGAGATAGAGATGTTCAC